GGGTTAGTAATCAAATTGTAAAATTTAGGAATTTAGTGATTAAAGTAGATAAATCGAATAGTTTAAGGACTTATATGGAAAATTCTGTGTAGGACTTAGTAGCAAAGAAGAATGAATAGAAGGGCAGAATGGTCATTTGATCTAGAAATGAATTAAAAATGAAATATGGAGGAGATATATACTCGTGGAATGAAGGATTAAAGGAAAAATAAAGTTTTCAAGAGAATTCTTCTAGCTTCACTCTTCTTCTTTTTCAACCGTGAGCTACCATAACAAGGTGAGTCTTTTGGTTGGTTGATTTTGGATTGAATTTAAGTATAGTTTATAATCTTTAGATGATACTTAAGCTTAAGGAAAGCTTAAGTTATCTTCAAATCAAAAGATGAAGGAGTTAGGAGGGATTAAAGATAAGAAGTCTTTAAATGAAATCTTAGAAAAGAGTTGAACTAAATTTGACTTGTCATCAATTGAACTAAGAAATATGAAGTGATAGAATTGAAATTAGAACATGTTGAAAATTTGGTATAATTCTTGATTTCCATATAGAGGATGGAATTTTGAAGATAAAGATGTGTTAGATGAATATAAATGGGTTTGAGTATGTGTACTTGAGTTAAGAGTATGAGAGGGAATAAGGAATTAAGGATTTGAGTTGATAAGTGTAAGTTTTCGAGTTTAAAAGTGAAATCTGGGCTTTGAGTATCGTTACTGCTTCATTCAGTATCGATACTTCAAGAGTAAAATAGTGATATTTGGTATAGGGGTATCGATGCTAGTTGAATAGTATCGATACCATAAGTCTGAATTTGACAAAGACATTCATGGGGTATCGATACCTGGAAGGTAGTATCGATACCAAGAGTACCGATATCATAAGGTCAGTATCGGTACTATTTTTAAAATGAGGATTTCGAATGCAAAAGGGGTATCGATACCAGGCTTGGAATCAATACTACAACTAGGGAAGTGTAGATACCATACCTTGGGTGCCGATACTACTTCAAGAGGAAAATAGAATTAAACTTTTCTTATTAGCCTAAGAAATTAAGGATCGAATTAAAATACTTGGAATGTATGATTGTGTAGACATCAGGCACAAGCAAGTTCCGGAACGACCGAAAAGTTAGAATCGATCAAAAAAGAGAAATCAAGACATAGAAGTAATTGGGATCAAAGGAGGCTAAGGTGAGTGCATAGTGTGTAGTTCAATGGAAATAAAACTTGTGATAAGTACATTTCCTATGTTAGTTTCATGGTCCAATAGTTATGAACATGAATATATAATATGATCATTATAAACACATGCATGTGAATCAAAAAAAAATTATAAACACATGCATGAGTTATATATGTTTATATGATTTGAAACATGTTATATGATTAATGTGAACATACTTAAATAACATATGTTATATGATATGAGATTGATGGTCATATGTACATGCGATATATGATAGAAGAGAAGAAATATGCGATTATAAGAGAAATAACATGAGTACATGAATATGTGGTGATATTATGGTTATAGGAATGTATGAAATATAATGATAATGCCCATGTTATACGATATGAGAGCTATAGGTATAATTGGCATGCCAAGAGTCGAGGGTTACATAGGTTCTTCGGGACATATATACAGGTCCTTCGGGACATATATATAGGTCCTTCGGGACATATATGCAGGTCCTTCGAAACATATACATAGGTCCTTCGGGACATATTTCACATGCCACTCAGTGGATCCTTATACGAGTTGTGGTGACAGCATATGTGCACAACTTCAATGTACTCGCATACCTTAAGTTATCAGTAATGTGCATGGGCCTATAAAAGATATAAAAAGTATTTACATGATTATATGATAACATGTTATTATTGTTTACACTGAACCATATATGACATTATTGAATTATGATATGATAAGTATAATTGTATTTGGATAGTTAGATTGCATGTTCATATTTATAGGAAATGCATTGTTATATTTTTTTATGCCTCACTATGTCTATGACTTAGCGTGTAAGCGTTTTACACGTAGGTACAGAGAAGCAAGAGGATTAGGCGTAGGACTTGCAGAACAACATACCTCCACTCAAAGATCAGATCAGAAGTACTTTGCACAGTATGTATTTTTATGTAATATATATGTTGGGATGTAAACAAAGTCGAGAAGTACATATGCTCTGATCTATTTTTGTAATGTTTTGAACGTACTAATGTAAATTGTTAACTTTACGTTAATGGAAGTTTAAATGTTTTATTATTTTCTTTTATATTTATAAATGTAAAGGTGAAAAGTCAATGTGACACCTTGGAGTTGTATACGGGTCGGATACAGGCTGGGGGTATTACATCGGGTTTACCGTGATTGTCCGTCGCGGACGCTATTGCGGGTGTAGTGGATAATTGAGACGGTGGTGAAATCGCTATATCGCGAATGAAATCGCGTTTTCGAAACATTTTTTGAAACCCTGGTGCAGACCTTGGAGGAGCGTTGTGGGTGTTGTATTGTCTCGCGTGTACGAATGAGTATGGACCTAAACTCGATCCGACTCTATTGGATTAATTTTTAAAAAAAAAAATAAGTTCATGTCGAGTCGAGTTTTTTAAAGGATAAGTGTGGGTCTAGTCGGGTTCGATTCAATTTTAAGGAGGAAAATACTCGACCCGACCATAAAAATAATTAATTATATCTTATATATTTATGGATAATTGCAATACCCTCTCTATATCATTATTTTTCAATTAAATCCTTATTTTATATAATAGAATTAATAAATTTTTAAATAAATATATTTATTTCTTTTCGGATCGAGTCATGTTCAGATTTTATCTCAAAAGACATGTCGGATTTCTGGTGGAAGGTGCATATTTTTCGGATCGGGTTAGATTGGTTAAAAATCCAACCCGACCCTTACCCATCCCTACTCACATGGGTGAGTTCTTCAAGAGGTTAATGGTATTTTGGGTAGGGGTGTGTATTTTCAGATATCATATATTATCCAATTTGAAATTTTGGATATATGAAAGTTTGGATCACTAAAATTATTATTCGTATCCGATTCAAAAATCGAATATCTAATTTTTTGGATATCCAAAATTTTGGACCGGATATCTGAATATGAATATAAAATGTAATTTGACAAAAATTTCATATTTGAATTTAATATTTTGTTACTTATATTATTATTATTATTATTATTATTATTATATTATTATTATTATTATTATTATTATTATTATTATTATTATTATTATTATTATTATTATTATTATTATTATTACATTTTTTTAGCCAAATCATGATAAATATTCGCACCGTTTATATTGATACCAAGTAGCTAAAAAATGCAGTGAATTATGATCGTACTCAACGATATTAGATTTGATGGTGCTTAAAAGAGTTGAAGTTTTCATTATTAATTTGCTAACGGCATGTTTAAATTATTTCCTTGTGCTTTATTATTGAGGGGAGAAAGGATGGATTGAGAGTGGATGGGGCAGTCGTCCCTTAAAAATTTAAAATTATCATATATTTTAATTTTTTTCATATGTATCTTATATTGAAAATCTATTTTTGACTTCCTGAAATTTTATAAATTTATCCCTTCTTAAAATTTTAGAAGTTCACGCCCTAACATAAAATTTATGTCCGTCAATGGAAGGGAGGGTTGTTTACAACATAAAATTAAAAACAGTAGTAGAATTTAGAAACTTGGGCTAATTTTAATGAATGTTTAGTGCATGATATTGAAAACAAGGATAGATCCATGTCTATACTGTTTTGACCAAGGAACGTTAATTAAATCTGCAAGGCATTAAGGCAAGGCTCAAGGATGTGGCACAGACATTTCAAGCTAGGCGCGGGCGAGCTGGCTGATATAGTAGGGTCTGGATAATTTTTCAAAGACCCATTTTTTCGGATTTTTGAATAATTCTTTCAATTTTAGTTGATCTGTATCCGATTCATCCGATTATCCGATTTTTCTTTTTTTAGATTTTTTATCAGAATTATCCAAAAATTAAAAAATAAATCAAATATTCAAAATTTTTAATCAAATCAATAAATCATATCGGTCTGATCAAAATTTTTTTCCGCACCCTTACTTTCGGGTTCACTTGAGAAGGGGCTTGCATGCGCTCTTTTCTCTTTATTTCCATTGCTTTTTGTTTTGATTTTGGAACTTTTTTGGTTTTTTCTTGCAATAAATTCCTCTTATCAAAAAATATTTCATGAGGTCTAATACATAATCAAGTTGTATCACTTTCTCAAGAGGAGACTAAATGTTGTAATTACTTAATGTTTATAGCGACATACTCTCATACTATTCAAATTAATAAATCGAAATCAACCAATATTGTTAGTAATTAACTTGATATCGTTTAATCAGATTTTAAATTTGACATCTTATGTAAAATATTTTTAAGAAATCAAGAGTCCAACCAAAAATAAATAAATAACGTTTGATATAAGCATGTCATACTTTACTCTATGAAAATTTCATAATTGCCCCAAAACTTTTAAAACCTTATAAAAAGGTCATTGCATAATAAAATTGATTTTGACCTATTGATTTAAGTACTTGATTCTATGTATTTGTATAAAAACTCATCGCATGGTTTCGAATGACCAAAAAAGATCACAAAATTTTTTATATTTCACTTGCAACGCAGAAAGACGGAGGGGGGAATTTTCAGATATCACCTGTTAATTACATGACTAGAAATTGGAAATAAACCTAGTAACTTTTTAGCTCGTTAAAAGGTTACCTAAACCCTGAACCTATCAAATGCCCTCAATAAATAAAGAGAGTGCTATTCTCTTTTGAGTTCGAACAATTACGTTAGCAGGGAATATGTACGTTATCAATGATTAAGAAAGATTCTAAACACATACTTCTGTTAAAAAAAAAGTTACCTAAACCCTTGAAAGTTTTGAGAAGTAGCGTTGTCATTTGAAAAACTGTACAACAAAAAGTGGAAATGCATTGATAGATTTATACACCAAATCCTTGGATCCTGGTGCGGATTACACACCAGACTTTTAGGATCAAATACAAACAAATGGGCCGAAATTTGAGGAAAAACATATTAAATTTCAGGAAGGGAATGGATGACTCTTGAGAAAGTAAAAACAATATTTATAAAATTGTAATACTAACCTAATTCCGTCTCCCAAGAACCTCGGAAATTGCGGATGAAATTTTGAGACGGACCATCGTGGGGGTCTCCATTTGAGTTCCTTCTTGAAGGACCGCTGGCAGGTGCGGAACTTTTGGCGAATCTGGATGATTTGGAGTTGAAAATTGATGAGCTGAAAGAAGCGTTACTTGCACCAAAAGATACAGGCCCTTTGTTTGAGGCATCAACTGGATGTCCAACAGCTCCATCTTGATGAGGAGGTGGGAATTTCTCACTCTTGCTCTTAGCATTTGTTTGTGTCATCACTCTCCATTTCTGGAAACCAGAAATCAAACACAACTTTTTGCATCAAATTTGAAGCAAGTTCATATGAGACCACTGAAAATAAAGAAACAAACGAATGCAATCGAACATATCTAGATAAGGGTAGATCAAAATTCAGCCTTCTATATCAATTATGTTACTCAAACTTGAGTGTGAGTGTCAAATACGGATATACATCTGACACGGATAAATTCAGTTTTTGACACTTCTATATCCGTTTTTGACATACTTGAGTATGATAAATGTCAAACTTGAGTGTGAGTGTCAAATACGGATATACATCTGACATGGATAAGTTCAGTTTTTGACACTTCTATAAACGGATAAACAGTAAAAAGCATCAGTAAGTGATAGGATAAAAAGCAAAGTCTCGCACTCACATCTAAGTTTACTTGAATCTCTGCATTTGCTTTAAGGGCTGGAACTGCCCGAGTAGGACGTTCACGAACGTTAATTCTCCTGGTACCATCGACTGCATTGACTTTGCCAGTTCGACTTCTTTGTCTGTATACAACAATTGTATAAGGTATCATCATGAAGCCAAATTTGGCAAAGAAAAAGGAAAGCCGTCCAACCTTCTTGCTTCTTCGTCTCTCAATTTTACATCAATTTCTTTACTGGGAGGATATTTTGGTAATCTTGATGGCTCACAAGCTTGCGGTTCAGTCGTAAAGAACTGCGAACTCAGAAACCAAATAAGTCAAAAACTAGTTAGAGATAGATGCAGCAAACCAATGGTGAGAACAGGAATGTCAAGTATTATAGTAGATATATGATCATGCAAGTCCCTGGGATGCACGACATGTGCTTAGTCTAGCTATCTAGCAAAGTAAATATATAAAAGATATCTTCAAATATCACAAATAAAGATTACAGGTACGAAACAAAAGATTGATTTGCTAGAGAGATGCATACAACTCACTTCACTATTAAGAGCTGAAGTGGCAGTACTCCTTTCTTCGGGGTCTATCGAAAGAAGAGTTTCAATTAAAGATAAAGAAGAAGATGGAAAATCCTTGAAAGTTTCTGCTATACAGCGTTTGTATGGGTGTTGTGGCTTAAAGAGTGTTGCATTTAGCAATTTGGGTTTCTTCCAATATTCGTCAGAAGGGGATCCGCATAACTGGAATATCTTGTGCAGTTGTTCAACCTATAAAATATGATATTAGCCCAATAAAAGGAAAGAAAATTTCCTATCAATAAATGGGAAATATTACACTACATAACTAAATCAACTAGAAGAAACACTTGTTATGAAATAAACACCCGATAGTTAGATTTTTTATTCATCATAACTATGGAATGTATTCATCTGAGTCGACATTGGAGGTTCGCCCAACAAACACGGTAAGCAACAAAAAACAGAACAATATTGGAGAGAAGACAAAATTCATACCTCTGTCCTTCCTGGCATTATAGGCTTCCCTGAAAGTAGCTCTGCTAGAATGCAGCCAGCACTCCACAGATCAACCCCAACTCCGTAATAAGTTGCCCCTAGAAGTAGCTCGGGTGGACGGAACCAGATAGTGACTACTCGACTAATCAGGGGCTGCTTCTTCCCAGGGTCATAACCGGTAGCCAGTCCAAAATCTGCAATTTTTAAAATGCCTTCATTGTCGATAAGAAGATTAGAACCCTTGATATCACGATGCAAAACACCTTGTTTGTGGCAATGCTCTAGCCCCAAAAGTAACTGCTTCATATAACATTTGACCTGCCAGAGGTAAGATGCATTCAAACAAACGGATCATCTAAGTTCCATTTATTTTTTATTATTCTTTTATTATTAATTATTATTAACTATTATTATTAATTTTACATATTACATTTTTGCAGGCTTAGAAGCCCAATTCAGATTACAAAGGCCAAATCCCGGAGCCCAACAACCCAGACCTGCGGCCCAGCAATCGGCCCAAACCCGCTAGGGTTACCCCTTCTCTGCCTCAGCGCCGCACCATCAAGACCGTCTGATCTGGACCCATCCAATGGTCCAGATCAAAGGCCATTTAGGTCTGAAACCCTAACCCTTGTTCTGAGCCCTAACAGCTCAGCCACCGCCACAGCCGTTTGGCCTTCCATCTCCCAGCCGTGCTTGAGGTGTCGATGGTGAATCCCGAGCCGGTCGTCATCAGCAATCTGGTCACACAGTGAAGCAAATGTCATCAACAGTGTATCAAACTTACCCCAAATCTAAAAACCCATTAAAATAACACCCCAAAATCCCGAAAAATCTGGACTTTATCCACCCAAATCAGAGAAATCAAATCCTATCTACCTAGATATCATCATCATATCACCAAATACTCAGCATAAATCAAGGGAACGAAACCAAAAAAAAAAAAAAGAATAGGAAACGAAAAGAAAAAGACAGAGAGAGATTCGAAACAGAAAAGAAAAAAAAAGGGAGGCATCTTACCTTTAGAGAGAGATCCGAGCATTGTATCCTCGCCGGAGTGAAAAGGCCACTACCGAAGGTTAAAACAACCTCTCTTTTCCTAGATCTAGTTTTTCTTAGGGGTGGGTTTTCGTTTGTTTTTGGTTGGTTAAGGTCTGGGAGAGGAAGTAGAGTGGTTAAGGTTGTGGTGCTCCCCGTGGCCACCGACTTACGGTGGCCGGGGAGCCGCGTTGTTCTCGTGAGGAGAAACGAGGAAGAAGTGAAAGGGAGAGGAGAACAAGTGAGGCGGCTGAGGGAGTTGGGGAATGAAAATCAGGTTTTTCAAAACCCTTAAGATGGTATAATCACCGAGTGAAACGGCATCGTTTAAGGGGCTTGGGGGTCTGCGTGTTTTTACATTTAGGGTTAATCACAGTTTAGGTCCCTCAAGCTTTTGTAAGGGTTGTGATCTGGTCACTAAATGAAATCGATGCAATCTTATTTCGAGCCTATAGTTTTATTTTGTTTATTTGAATCACTAGTTTTATATATGTATGTTTTTATGATCTTCGAATTTGGACCTGTGATTTATGTTTTTTTTCATTTTAGTCACTGTGCTGGGTGTTATTTATTTTGTTAATGTTTTAAATTTGTCCATGACATTTGTGTACATTTTATTCTAGTCACTAATTAGCCTATGGTTTAATTACATTGTAAGGGTCCCCGTGTTTTGTAAGTTGTTTAAGGGCTTAATGTATTTTATTTATTCTGTACTTCAAGCCCTATATTTTTAAAGTTTACACATTGGTCACTGGACTGGTTATTGTTAATATTTTTGAAAGTTTAGACATTGTACTTTATTTATGAACTTTTATCTTGATCACTACTCTCATATTTTGGGTTAAATATCGATTAATGTCTGTTTATTTTACTTTCATTATATTTTAGTCCTTATATGGTTTATTATTACATTTTTATTAGAGTTCGAATTTGGCCATATTATTTTATGCATGTTTCGTTTTAGTCCCTGTTTAACATTTGGCTTAATTGTGGTTTAGTTCTTTATGTTTTTTTTCATTTCATTTTGGTCCCTAATATGATTTATGGTTTATTTTTTTTACTGTTTTTTTAAAATATTTGTTAATTATATTTTAGCCCCTTAAATGTTTTAATATTTATTTTGGTCTGTAATATTTACTAATTTGTATTTTAGTCATTTATGTATGGATGTGCATTTTACTCATTAGTTATTATTATTGGTATTGTGTTTACTTTAATTTAATGTAAATCTTTGTATTTCCAATCACATTTATTTTCATTATATTTTTATCTATGTAAGAAATATTCGATTATATTTTCAGAACACGTATGCGTAGAATGGGCGTGGAAAGTACCACTTGGTCGAAGTGGTACGATCCGATACGGCATTTTAACGACATAGGGACTTGTAACAAGTCGAGTATATTTTACTAATTAATTTATTAAAATGATGTAATGTGTGGTACCTTAAGTGACGCTCACTTTATTTTATGTGAATGTAAATTTTAAATTTTCATTTTATTCGATACACGTTTTTAAATAAATGATGAGAGAATATTCTTTAAAAGATAAGAAATAGACGAGTTAACTTTCCCGACGGAGGATTGTTAATCTCGAGATTTCTTTTCAAATTAAAGAATTTTCTCTGATAAAATAATTCGAAGTAAATAATTAAATCTCAATAAGCGAATCATATTTAGTTTTATATTCAATTTGTAATTTCCACCATTTACGACGATGTGTAAGCTACACAGTACCAATTTTGGGCGTTGTGGGGGTGTTTACCCTTCCCCACACGTAACCGACTCCCGAACCTGTTTTAAATGAATCTTTGGTAACGTAGACCAAATTTTTGTCTTATAAAATTTTTTTCTTAAAATTGTTTTTAAAAGACGTTTTTAGGTATTTGACCTACCTAACCCAAAGGTCGATGGCGACTCTTTTCAATTTTATTCAAATCCATTCAAAATCACCAAATTTTCCAAATTAAAGTCATAATTGTTTTTAAAAATAATATTTAATTGTTTTACAAAAAAATGGTTATGACAGCTTGGCGACTCTGCTGGGGACAGAACTAGAGAGTCAAGCTGTCGGTCGCTTATATATAGTCGTTATGGTGGAAATTATAAGTTCGAATCTTTAGTAAAACTATGATCTATGTTGAATTTTTATTTATTATTTATCTCTTTATTTTTATATACTAACATTTTAATTGTTTTCATTTTTTCCAGATGTTTCTTAGTTCTCGTTGAGTTTATTTTCCCTGTTTTTGAGTCAAAGGTTTGTTTGTTTCTCCTCACACACATCACTTTCATTAGCATAACATGAGCTCTAGACATGAGTTTCGATCCAAATTAGTTAGGGTGATTGCTTTACTCTCGTAAGAATTTATTCTTCGTATGAGTTTTGGCAAATAACCCATGGGATACATACCTTATACCTTCGTAGGAATTTATTCCTCGTATGGGTATAAGGCAGTGAATCCCCTCGAATTGAACTCGGTCCGTTTGAAACCTGTAATGGGAGAGGATTGAGGGTTTGGTAGCCCAAGGGGGCACCGACATCAAGGACAATTCGAGTCCCTTTTTTCCTGTTAGAGCTGAAACCATGCATATAGTGAACCATAGAACGGTCACACTAGGTAGAGTCATACTGAACCTCTGTCCGTCAATAGGTACCCAAAATAGGCGTACACAATGGAGAAACCCTCTAACCTTTTTATTTTATTTTATTTATTTATTTTTGAGTGTGTATAATAGATTTATTCTGTTAAAGCATGTGAAATAGAATTTAGGTGCAGTTAGAATTTAATTAATTTAGGAGGGTAGAGAGCATGTTCGGGTAGGACCCTTTTTGAGGAATATTATTCGGGTAGATAATACATAAATAGAATAGATTTATTTCCCGTTTTACTTATCTTTTTATGTTAAATTTATGCAATTGTTTTGACTAACTGTTTTGTTTGTTTTGTTTATTTTTTTCATACTGCATAGACATATCATTAGAAAAGGCGATTGATCTGTGAGTATCGATAAAGTGGAAAGACTTTCACGATGGAAAGGAGTTTCCTAAACAAAGAAGTGAATCCAGCAGATGTAAGGAACTGGTCCGAAGCCAAGCAGAAAGAGCAGGGAGATAGTCTATCAGGGAACTACGTGTCGGATCTGTCTGATTATGCACCAGCTTCTTTAAAACAGAATGAGCTTCAGGGATTGAAAACCATTTGGGAAAGTTGGAATCTTATTGAGAGGCAAGCTTTTCAGCAGACTTATGGGGATATATTTCATCTGATATACGTGAAGGTAGACCCGGTTCTCATACGAAGCATAATACAGTTTTGGAATCCGGCCTATAGTTGTTTCACATTCAACCGAGAGGACATGACTCCAACCCTCGAGGAATACCAATTTCTGTTGAATTTGACAAGCGTTAAAGTGGACAAAGTTTACTCCCGGTCGATAAAAGGGCTTTCTTTTAAGTCAAAGCTTGCAAAGATCTCGGGCACAAGCGACAAATGGGTAAATGATCGCTTGCAACGCAAGGGAGAAAGTGAGGGAGTGCCGTGGTCTCACTTACAAAAGATAGCTGAAGCACACGTAGATGAAAACGTGCGTAGAGATGTATTTGCTTTGGGTATATATGGTTTGGTAATCTTTCCAAAATGTTTGGGATTGATCGAGCTAGCAGTAGTCGATTTGGTTGAGAAGTTAGGAAGAGAGGTGAATCCAGTCCATGCAATTCTTGCTGAAACTTTCCGATCTTTGAATATATGTAGAAGGTTGGGGGGAGGTCGTTTTATGGGTTGTGCTCAATTGCTTACTGTGTGGATCAGAAGCCATTTCTGGAAGGAAGAAAAAGTCAACTATAACCGTTTTTTGAAAGATTATTCTCCTGTTGCTGAGTACCTTACGAAGGAGTAGCCTGAAGTATCTCAGAAAGATCAATGGATTGATTTCTCCCGGAATCTACAAAGTCAAAACATAGCATGGCGAACACCGTGGCTGATGCATACACAAATCTTATTCAAGTGTGGATATTTGGACTGGATTACATTACTGGGACTATGGGGAGGAGTGGGATACGCTCCTTTGTTGATATTGAGACAGTACGGTGCCCGACAGTTTGTTCCCGTGACTCATGGGTTGACTGGTGCTGAATTTGATTATAAAGAAGGCAATTATAGAAAGAAAATCAAAGATGTGGCTGATTCTTGGAGGATGACTTTTAGGACTAAAGTAATTGGAGCGGATGTTATTTTGACCCTGATTATAAAGCCTGGAGAATCAGGAGGGTAAATGATA